AGAACTGAAGACATCATTAGAAAATGAACAATATGTATAGTATCAAAGCAATCAGACTTACAGTTTTTAACAAGAAGTCGAAAATATCACTTTCTACCAAAAATGACAAAAATATTCACCAAAATTAGAGAATTGAAGATATCATCACGAAATGAACAAATTTGAGAGAGGTCCACATGTAGTACCTATATATGTAATATCAAAGCAATCGGACTTACAGTTTTTAACAAGAAGTCGAAAATATCAATTTTTACCAAAAATGACAAACATATTCACCAAAATTAGAAAATTGAAGATATCAACATGAAATGAACAAACCTAAGAGAAGTCTACCCAAGGTACATATACACCAAGTATCAAAGCATTCAGGCTTGTGGTTTTCAAGAAGAAGTCGAAAAAGTAAAACATTGACACGGACGATGACGGACGACGGACAATCACTCATATGATAAGCTCCGCTCAACAAAGTCATCAGCGGAGCTAAAAACACCCAAAAACTATTTTCAGCGAAAATTAATTCCAGCTAAAATAAAGTATTTTACAGTATATATTTTTTCTCAGGGCTATAAACTATCATTGCTTGTTCACTAGTATGTTAAATTAGGTATTTTGTATCCAGCTATTTTCCAGTGAAAAATCTACTTGTAAGAATTTTGGTTGTTAAATTCTGAGTGTTTATGTAAGTACGTAACATAATGTGAATATATAATCTCACTTTCGACTTCTCAACTGTCTGTCGTAATTTTTTCCACGTGTTACCAAAACATGTTTGATTTCTTCTGGTCCAGTAACAGACACAATTTCGAAACCAAAAAAGAAGAAATACCTCGCCACGGGACCAAGCTTCTTGCTGACTCTACAGACAAAAAACAAATATCATATTTTAAACAGAGTAAATGTACTGTATTAAAACATGTTTAATTTAGCTAATCTGTAATTTGGTAATTCAAGATTTCGCTAATTTTAAATAAAGGAAACTGAATAAAAATTTATTTTTGCATTCAGTCAAATTTGCTGGAAACAGCATGCAGCTTTTTTCAACGTGTTTTACAGTATATTACAGCAGCTCTGAGAATTCATTCAGAACAAGATAGCTTGCACCTTTAAGCATATTTTGGTTTTATCCCATCTAGATGTGATGGCACCATTCCATCAAGACAGCTACACTTTTCTCGGAGGGCGAAGCTACGTCACAGACGTTCCACGTTGCTAAGAAGCCCACAACTGTACCATGTATTTCTATGAGCTCTGCACGAGCTGCTGTGTAATGCCGATCAAAGAGCCGGTGAAAACTGCAGGAAACTGCACAAAAATCAATTTTGAAGCAACCATTTATTTCTATGTTACACATGTAGGGGTAAATTTTGTTACACTGTTAAGTAGAGTCTCAACACCTATCCCAAAGTAGTTTTCTGAGAGTTTTCGGCCTTTGTTTTCACCGTGATGGTTGCCAGGCGATGAAAATGCCAGAATGCCTACCCTCGAGAATAAGTCATAATTGCATTATCACCACCCCAATTATGAATACGACAGTCTATGTCAGATAGCAGATAATGAAAGGTCTTACCGGAGAGAGTATTCCGTAGTTTCAGCTTTCGATATCTCTTTAGTATTCCCAAATATTGGGTTATACGGCATTGAAGGAATCTTAAAATAATAGTGAAATGTTAATTATACCAATCACTGTTCTGATAATAAATAATGATAACTTTTGTTTATGCAGCTGTACTCTGTGATGTTATTATAATTGATTGACACACGATCTTAATCACTGTACTTTGAAATACTAATTTAGCTTGAAATATTTTTTGCTGAAAAGATTTATTTATTTATTTTCACTGATTTTTAATGAGAAAAAAAGATTATTTTCACCATTAGGAAAGTGGGGTAATATTCATTGCAGATAATACTATACAGTGTTTTTGCTAAGACTTGGTATGGGATGTATGTGAATTAACCGAATCACCCAAAAACTTGTTAATTTGAAACATTTTGCCCTAAATTGTTTACATTGCTGGGACTTACAATCACATTTTGTGAAAAATTAAACATTTTGCTTGACACAATTATGACATGACTTGTCATGATTTCCCATCTAAAGAAGAAAAGTAGTGTTAACAGGCATAAAATAAATATAAAACACTATAAAACAACAATGCTTATTTTTGAGAGAAATATGAAAACAAGAATTTATAAGCACTGTGATGCCAGAATGTTTTGATGAGACTTAGCTAGTAAGCTGTGTAAGATATAACCTCAAACTGATTTGAAAACAAAATAATCGAATAAATTAAAAATTAAAAGTTATTGTAAATTACTAACTAATTGACTAATATGCAGGTAGGTATAATCACTTAGAATAGAATGATACAGGACTGCCAACAGTCTGTTAAGTGGGTTTTTCCTTACAGTGTATGTTTCATCTGTACTGACAAACCAGAAGTAAAGTGAACCCATCGTGTGCCCCCACTTAGGGTGGTAAAGAAATAAACTCTCTTCTATACATAAAACTCAGGGAAAACATCAAATGGGGAAGTGTGGAAATATTCATTGTAGATAGAACTATACATTAAAATAATTCATGTGAGTAACAAGTTTAGGGAACTACTTTACCACCTTACTGACTTAAAGCATGGTGGTTGTCACGCAGCCTGTGTTTCATGTAAATAAACAATGTATTTTACACGCGTTGTATACATCGCTTTGAGTCCCATATCGAACAGGACGCGGCACGACGACTGTCGCCCTTTAAACAAAAACACTGATGTTGACCCCCCCTCCCTCCCTCCTCACTTCAATTGAATACAAACCTTTGACAATGGTGATATGAGCGGCCATAACACAATTCTATATATTTTATATACACAATATGCCAAGAATAGTGTCGGTAGGTAGATGTATAGTAGATCGGTCATATGGAAATCCTGACGTGACAACATGGTGGAATAATCTGAAAATAAGTAAGAATATAGGTAGATTATCCAAAGTGAGTAGTACCAGGACAAGCATTAGAATTTGTGAAGGCAGAGATATATTTATAGAAACAGAACTGTGAGTGAGAGATTGAGCTTAGAACTTTAATATCAAAGTCCTTCAATGAATGAACAAATTAACATTATATAACCTGTAAAAAAAAAAGTCACTGAACCATGAAATCATGTACTGTAGAAGCTTTAATTTTTACTATTACCGGATTCGGCCATAAATTCGCCCATCCGAGAAATCACCCTGGGCGATTTCACGGCTGGTGGGCGCTTATTAGTGGGACTTACTGTAACAGATTATCTGTGACAACAAGCCTTATTCTTTGATCACACATTCCGGGTCATTGCGCATGCGCAGAAGCCCATACAAAATAAACCTCTTGTAAATAAACAGAAAAGTACATGTACATATAAACTCAACAATCTCCACTGTACTGTTTTGTGTTTTTAGATAAACAAGTCATTGTTAATGACACAGTCCCTGACCAAAATTTTGTGATCTGCCATATCAATTTGATGCTGATAAAGTCATTGAGATTAGATTGAAACCATTAATAGGAGATGGATTTTTAAAAAAATTATGATTTAGTGCTTTTACACAAGAATTGGACATTGGGCAATCATATTGAATCAAATTACAAATAAAATAATGTTCATGTTGATGTATCTATTGGTATACTGTCTTTGTACAAAATTTAAACAGAAATGTTCATTGCATTCATGGGAAGGTTGGCATGGGTATCATGAAAAACAAAATGGCCACAGTCAGCCATATTAGTTTGAATCACAGAAAAAAATATGACGTGCAATTATAACCCAATATGTATGATCATCATACCAACTTTGATCCAAATCGGCCCAGTCCTCTCTGAAAAACAGCTCCGGGCATGTAAAAATGATGATTTATAGTGCTTTTACATAAAAATTGCGCGTCAGCCAGCCATATTGAATTGAATCATGAAAATAATGCTGGTGCCGATGTATCCCTTGGTATACTACCTTTGTACAAAATTTAAATAGAAACATAGAAACGTTCATTGCATTTAAAAGAAAGTAGCAGGGGTACCATGAAAAACAAAATGGCCGCCAGTTGGCCACATTTGTTTGAATCACGGAAATAATATGACGTGCACCTATAACCCAATATGTATGATCACCATACCAACTTTGATTCAAATCGGCCTAATCATCTTTTAGAAACAGCTCCTGACATGTACATTGTAAAGATGATGATTTAGAATGTTTACATGAAATTTGGGCGTCAGTCAGCCATATTGAATCGAATCAAAAATAATGATGGTGTAGTTTTTTCTCTTAGTATACTATCTTTGTACACAATTTAAACAGAAACATTCATTGCATTCAAAAGAAAGTAGCATGGGTACCATGAAAAACAAGATGGCCGCCAGTCGGCCATATTTGTTCGAATCATATAAAAAAAATGACGTGCACCTACAACCCAAGATGTATGACCAACTTTGATCCAAATCGACCCAGTCATCTCCGAGAAACTGCTGCGGACACGTTTAGGTATCAGAAGTAGCAAATTTTACATCGAAAATGGCAGTCTGTTGGTCATTTTTGCTCCGATCATAAAGTAACTTGACGCGCATATGTAAGACATTATGTATTGTCTTCATGTAAAGTTTGAATGAAATCCGTCGATGGGTGTCCGAGATATAGCCTCTGACATACATACATACGTATTGACGAAACAAACCCAAATTAATAGTCCCCGTTTTCGGACTTTGTCCAAACAGGGACTAACAAAATAACAGAAAATCTGAACTACAAATTACAATCATCTTACAGTGTTCCTATCATACAGTCAGTACAGATCTAAAACACCCTTTTCAAGAGTTTTTAGGAGCAAGAAAGAAGAAGCCCCTTTTTTAGTAAGACAGTTTTGTTAATTGTTTCTTACTTTATGACCAATTAAACTCCTTAATTTGTTTGTTTTCAATCAGCTCCTAATTAATCCTATTTATTTCAATTCTTGATTTAGTAGATTTTATAGAGACTAACAGTCTGTCCAGCGTACGAGTTGTAACGTATTGGATGCATTACACTACCACTCATCACCTAGTTAAGACCCAAAAGAGGGTGGTGTCTTACCTTGCCTTTGCTGTCCCCGGAGCAAATAGCCAAAAATGCTGCTACAGTGACAGGGTTCGGTGTGCCCAAGAAAGCTGGACCCAAAACCCAAATTAGGGGGTAGTATGCTTTTGAAGTAAAGACCGAAACAGTTCTATCGAAAAGGCCGAAAAGCGAGACCTGGAAACTTCAAGAAGTGCTGATGGTAGAGAAATCTGTCCGAAAAAATGCTGAGACCGACTTATCGCCTATGCGCAGGGACCCTTGTGGTCGTTCAGCCTGGTTCAGCAACCAGAGTCTGACCCGTTATGACGGGACACAGCCTAAAAGAGATGCTCCTCAATGGATTGGGTGTCTCTTAGGTCTGACCTCAGAAAATTTTTGAGGGGGGCGCCTGACGCTAGCACTAGTGAGTTAGCAATCGCACAGACCTCATGCACTCGTACTTGGTGTCTCTGCAAGCTCTGTGTCAAGGAAGTTAAAGTATTATAGACCTCTAATACAGTCGCAGTAATCCACCTCGCGATGGTCGGGGAGGCCGGCCTATCCTGCCTGCCAGGGCCGTAACACAAAAACATGTGCTTGGCGCCCCGTCTTGAATCCCTAGTACGGTTTTGGTAGCAGCTCGGTGCTTGTATCGAGCGGAGAAGCAATTTTCCCTGACCCTCCAGGCCAACAAAATTTGACAGCAGGGGGATGGTGATCAGGTGATGATCGTGTCCTGGGATTTGGTTCCTAGCGAGAAACTCCATTTGTGTCTTCAGCACAACTTGATTGTCCATAAAGGCGGTACATCGTCCCAGAAGGACAATGCCCCCAGTTCTGACCGATGCCTACAATGTACCTGACTGAGGCGAGGGCCAGTAGGAAGGCTATTTTCCACATCAAAAATTTGAGTGGTGCTGATCGGAGAGGCTCAAAGGGCAGTCTGCTTAGAGCAAACAACACAACCGACAAATCCCAGTTGGGCGGTTCCCTTGTATGATATGGAAAGCAGTAAATAGTCTCTCCTAATAATAGGACAATCGACTAGTCTTGTTTCCAAACCGTACTCAATGGTGGGGGACAAGGCCGACCTGTATCCAATGATCGCTGCAGAGGACAAACCCACTTCGTCAAACAGGTGGACAAAGGAGTCTGCTACCTGGTCATTAGAGGAATAGTATGGATCAATCTCCCCTCCGCTACACCAATCAGTGTATGCTCGCCACCTAGAATTGTAGGCAGCATTGTTGGAATCCCTATTCGCCCTGGCCAGGACGTTGGCAGCCCGCTCAGATAAACCTTTCGTCTGTGCGAGTCTACCAAGAGCCTCTATGCATGTAAGTGATGCTGGGCTCGTTGGTAGTGCGCCGTCCGGTTGGAACAGCAGGTCCAGTAAGTCCGGAGGCACTACTGGTGTTTCGACTAGCATTTCCAACAGAAGTGGAAATCTATACTTCAGCATGGGTACCAGGTCTGACCTGTAAGGAGTACAGGAGATCGATATTTGCAAGATTCTGGGAAACACGGTAACAAGTGAGGACCAAAACGACACAAACCGTTGTAAATTTTTATGGAAGACATGGATTCATTCCTATTACAGACTCACGGCAACAATTCTTTACGATGTAATTCACTCTGGTGTGGGAAAACGGAAAAGTCAAGAATAATTAAAAATGGCGACAACGGAAAGGTCAAAACACTGCTAATTAGCTTTTCGACGACTCAGAAAACGACAGTGACAGCCACCAAAACGTATTGAAGGCAAATAAACATGTGAAGCAAAAAATGACTGTTTCGAGTAGTAGCGTAAAATAGGGGACAAAACCATTGATAACTTTTGTAGGGGAATGGAAATCAGTCGATTTGAGGGTGTCGCAATAAGCAAGGGAAGGGAGCAAATCGTTTTTATGCTATGAAAAAGGGAAGACCTTGAACATACATTTTGTACTTTAGTGCACTGTCATTTTTGTTTGATTACCTACCGCTTTTAGGTTCATGTGCTGCAAGTTACAGAGCACGTACCTGAGCGGCCGTCCCTCAGGCATTTTCGGTGTTGAAATCGCAAAACTATCAGTTTTTACGCAATCTAGGAAGTTTGAAATACTAAACGAAGTACAGGACGATGAAGCTGAAATATCCAGGAACCAACACATACCAAAAATTATATCTCAAAAGTGAATTTTCATGGTGTATTTTATATCTAACCGGGCCGGAAGTGGGAATTTGTTACTACTCTAAATATCCAAACATATTTTAGTATAAGGTAGTAAACATAAAAAAGTGATTAGTTCATTTGCTCATTTCCAAGCGTAACAAGTGTTCTTCTCTTTATTTTACATAAGGATTTAATTGAGTCAATTTACCCAGTAAATAATGAAGATGTTTAAATTAAGTGAAGTTAGGAGAAATAATCACAAACAAATAATAGCATCCCGATAAATATTTAAAGTATGCTGTAGACGATAGAATAGAGTAATGATTCAGAGAATGCAGTAAACATTTTATTGGGATCAACTTTTAAGACAATTTTGCAATATTTAAATTTTGTAAAATTCAGTTCTAACTAATACCGGTAATGTCAAAATTATCATTAAGGTAGCAGGAAGGGAAATTTTCACTTTTTTCTTGATTTTTCAAAAATTGATAAAACGGTTACTTTAGACCTTGATACATCACCCCAGGTTTACAAAAGATCGAAATTGCGAAATAACGTTGCTTAAATTAGTGTTTTAAAACGCTAGCAAAAAAGACTACAACTGCCATTTCGTGGATATTTGCATAATGTTTATCTTTGGAAGGGTTTAAATGATAACATCTCATCTGTATACTCTGTTGTTGACGATTCAGATATAACAGGTGATAAGCTTTCCGTCGCAAACAATGCGTGTTTATCTAACGTCCATTGTCAGCATTATTGTCAGTTGAGACTTCGTCAGTGAAACATGGTCATATAGTCCGGGCATACAGTACTCATTTCGCCCAACTTTCCGTTTTTACTCAACCGCTTATCACTTAATTTCCGACCATGAGGTCTTGTCAGACCGGAAATGGACCGCATTTTAATAACGTTTTTTTCGCTCGCTCGCTCATTGAAACACCGACCGCTTGCCCAAACACTGATCACGGGCACATGAGTGGTCAAAATGGTGGTTTTGATAGTAAAGTGTGAACATACAACTAGTATTAACTATTATTAAATTCTGAATGACACTTCAAATCTAATAGCTGTATGACACTTGTATCGTGAAAGCAACTTAACTGGAACCTCTTGTTACGTGTTTTGGGTGCTTGTTCTAGATGTAATATTTTTTTATTATTTTAATGAGAGTGTTACATTAAAAAAAGCATAGGTCATTTTGATCGAGCAGAGAAACGAGGAAATGTTAATGATTAATTCCAAAAATAACGATACCAAGTCCACGTCGGCTGGTCTGGTAAAAATTGACATTCTATTTTCAAAAATAAGACACGATCATTGAATAAGTTCAGTCTATGTGACCGTATACGTACCCTAAAAGTATTCCCACAAAAAATATTTTCGACTAAAAACGGCCACATGCCCTGAAAAAATCAAACAGAGGTTGACATGTATGAATAATTTATTGGGCTTAAAAAAAACGTGTCAAATTTAGTTATAGCCATAAATATTTGGAGACCAGTCGATAAACAATTCGAAACTCAGGATTCACACGGAAGTCCGTCAGGGCTGAAAATCATCGACCCTACTCTGGTTTACTTTATTTCCCAATTTGCAGAGAAAATTGATTCGCCGTGGACTCTAATGTATCTCAGCCTAGTATTTTCTTTTTAAACTGATGTCAAATTCCACCCGTTTGTCAAAATATACCGATGTTTTTCAGCGAATAATTTTGAAGCCTGTCACAGCACAAAAACACTATGTGAATCGACGCCGGAAATTGGATGGTACGACGACCCTTCAATTAGCGTCAAATATGCTTTGTTACAACATCATTGATTGGCTGAAAGTCACATGATCGGAGCATGTGACCTGGGTCACAGAACCATATTTGTCCGTATTATCAACAGGACCTCGCAAAAGAACCACACCCACATTCTCAATCTTTTTTGGCGCAAGCGAGCGGGCAGGCGTTCGGTGATATTTTGGGGTTTGCGCAGTCAAAAATAAAGTGGAAATTGTCCAGTCGAATTCAACAAGCGGTCGCAAAACCTAATACTATTTTTTCTAACGCAATGCCGAAGAAAAGAAAGCGTTGACAGACGGGGCAAAGAAAAATCTGCCACTCAGTGTTGCACTCAGTAACAGCAATTTTTTTTTTCAAACATCGGCCAATTTGTTTCACCATGAAAACCATTTTATTAGATCTCTTATCAGAGACACTTGAAGGATTAGCTTGTTTGTAAACTGTCAGCGTGTACAGTGGGACAGTAATGTTTGTCAGAGGATTATCTCTCGTTGTTCGTTTGCATAACAATGGAAACCCGAACGCTCCTGGAGTACGAACACAAATGCCAGCAGTTTTCTTCATTTTTCACGCTCGAGCTTGAAATTATTCATTATCTGACACTCTTTATGAGTTCTATGATATCAGTGGTTTATATGTTTGGCCATTTTTAGTGTATATTTATAATAAGTGTTTTATTATCCAAAACTGTTTTTCGCGTTTTTCTTGAGTTTTGACTGAGTACGACTCATTGGGGCCGCCACCAAATCAAGTGCGTTCGGACTAGGACATTCAAACTCGCAGTTATCGTTCAAAAGATAATGATGGTATGAAATATGTCTGGGTTTTTAAAGAAAATGCTTTGTCACAGAATAATAGTCTGTTAAAGGTGCCAAGTATGAAATAATTTGGGACAAAAAAACAAACCTGCGTAGAAATTGGAATAATAGGTCTTTTGATTACTGGGGACACATTTTAATGGACTTGATTACGGACAATGTATGACGTAAATTTCACCAGGAAATTCTGCTGTGTGCTCTCGCAATCACGGACTTAGTCATTTTTACAAGGTTCCCCATTTTTGATGTCACGTGATAATTATGTAAACAATGACTGTCCAGTTTGCGCGAACTTGTACCTCTATACTTAGTCTTATGAAATATATAAGCTAAATTACTGTTCTGAATGAGACAACAGACAGAGAATGTTTTTTTCGAAAACGTCACAAAACCTTTCTCGCTACCTAAATCAAAGAAAGCTTAAAGAATTGGTTGAGAGAATTGGAGAAATATTAAAAATGAATTAGCCTTTCAAACAAGAATTTTGGCAACTAATATTTGTCTGCCTTTTATGATGTATAACATGAAAACAATATGATCCACATTATTGAAGTCATACTTAAGAAAAATACTTTTGATTATACATATGTGGTTTTCAGTTTAATTTATTCCAGAGCAACTCTACCACAAGTTTAATTTAAATCTGACTTGTTGAGATACCAGAAATTGGCTAATAATATTTAGATAATCAATTTGCATGTTTTTCATTATTAAACTAATCATGTCTGTGGATTAACTCCAAAGCATTCATGATGATTATGCATAGATCTAAAGCTAATGCATTGTTCCTAGGCACTTATTTACCAAGTCTTATTGAAATACAAATGAGTAATTATTATGCAAATGAAGCAATTATTATGCACAGATTTCAACCCCGAACAAATTAGGTCTGTGTATTGTTCCCGGGAACATATCGTTTCATTATAATGTGGTGATTAATTTTTATGCAAATTATGTTATTATTATGGATGTATATAAACCCAACACTAATTAGTTGCATTGTGTTAGTGTATTTCGTACTGAGACTCATTGAAAAATGACAATAAGTACTTGAAATATTGACGGAAAAGCTGAAAACTCAAAAAGCCAAAATTCACTAATCATAATGTAAATTATTATTCATGCATTTTTACCAAAAATTAAAGCGAGGAAGTCGCCACCTGCGTATGTGTCAGATGGCCATAGCGTGTCATTTTTTTACTAACAAGCGCCTACCCATGAGCCTTTGCGTTTTTAGCTTGTGTTGTTATCGTTGCTCGGGACTCAATTTCCACATGTGTGCAGGTGACGACCCTCCCACTTTAACTAGGTCTGTGCATTGTCCCAGAGCATCTATGTACCAAGTTTCATCAAAATCCAAAGAGTAGTTCTTCAGATACCAGTAGAAATCAGCTAATTATCATGCAAATTAGGTAATTAACTTAAAATCTTATCAAAGCTGCGCATTAACTCATAGCATCTATGCATCAAGTTTAATCAATAACCGGCAAATGGTTATTGAGGTATTAATTGAACAGGCGGGCGGACACACACACACATACACCCACAGACGCACTAATTGCAAAGACTCCCATTGTGCAATTCGCACACAGGAGTCAATTTTTTTTTCAAAATCCAACAAAACATTAACCATTCCGTAGGGATTGCCCTATGGGTCTTTTTTTTCGAAGGAGTGACTACATCCGCGACACGCCCTCCCTATTAATCCCGTAATAGCTCCACGACCAAGACCACGGAAAGTGATAGGTACATAATACACCGACTATATAGCGGGTATCACCACGGTTTGTTAGTACATTTCACATAAGCGTCTGATAACTGAGCCGGGGAGTATACACCTCCAATCCAAAATCTTCGACCGGGGAAAAAACTTTATCGGGCGTTCAAATGCATAACTGCATGGTCTCGACTCTGTCACCGTGATCATGCTGTGATGTATGATCTGTAGAACTTCCGTCACGTCCTTAGTACTAGCGCTAGTGGTATGATATGATGATTCATGACTGGCAATCGCATTGGTTTGATTGTGTGTCGGGCCGGGGATTAGGTACAGCTCCCTGGTCTTACAGACGTGACGCCGCTGCATAACTGCATCAATGAGCTACCAAAAAATATATACAAAAACTCACCAAAGTTAACCACTTCTTGACAAGCTGGTCAGTTGACCGTGTTCGGCACAGACAGGGAGTGCAGATAAATCGATGACAGCGAGGTCAAGATTTGGTCACGCGTTTTGGTCCAGTGAAAAGAGTTGCAGCGTTTAAAGTGAGAAGGTCGTTGTCCTGTGTGTGCGCCCACTGGAGTCGTAAAATATTCCACGTTCGTTTTTTCTTCTTACAAATACGACATTTGTGTTGATAAACATTGATTTTCCCACAATCCAATGCGCCATTCTAAAGGAAATCACGCGACTTGCACCGATTACCGCCGGTGACTCCTTCCATAGCTTCCAATCACCCCAAAAAATACCCAATTAAAGCTTGGTAACGTCTCGGTTTGTACTCGTTGATCTACGCAACAGTCAAAGTCGCTATCTGTGTTTATATGAGACCCATATACCTCGAGCAAGCGTGGCGCGACTACTGCCGCCCTTTCATAAATTTGGCTATTTATTGCATAGCGATGTTTATTGGTTTATGTGCTGCCAAGAAGATATATAGTGCCATGGTAACTTGAAACAGTATTCAGTCAGTAATTATACATTATTTTGAGAAAATTCCACAGAACACAATATTATGGGAAAAAAAGCATTTTTTAATTTATCATTTTTCAAAACCTCAAGTTATTATTTCCATGTAAATAATTTTACATTTTGGATAGCAACATGAATTATAAAAAAATAATTTTACATAATAAGTTAATAAAAGAATTTATGTAAATGTGTATATAAAATAAAGGATGTGAAATGGAGTGAGCTTGCGCATTTATAAACTTCAGTCGGATCAGCCACAGTCGCTCAACACCAAAAAGTTGTTGAGGGACGGTGCATCAGCAGACGGCCCAAATCTGTCACATCGTGAGATTTCGATGCACTCAAGTCCCCCCGTCGCCGTTATATGATTTTGTTCTCGTAGACAACGCTTCTGACAAGTGTATATGATCAGAGGTACATTACTTGGGGTTTGCAACGCGCATAGCTAGTACTGTATGGTAACATCATGCCAAGATCCCATTCAAGTCTCATCTCGTGGATAGCGAGACTGATGCTACGACCTTCTGACATGACATAGGCGGTTTGTAATAAAACAATAAAACATGTATTACCACATTCATAGTGAAAAAATGTAATACATCGAACATGTACAATAAATATAGTTATCGTAATCCCAATCTGATTAAAATAAGATCCTAGTTT